ACGAACCGTCCGATGAGGGTATTCCTTACTCCCACATCTCCATTAACCCTTTGACTGTTTCAGGCCCCTCTCTGAAACTGTCATTCTATGTCGCTCAATTTTTGAAAAAAAAAAATTATTTTTTCTTATGAAATGATAGAGAATCTTTTCCCGATGGTAATGACACCAAAAGTTCGAAATTTGGTCGAAAACTCGTGGAATTATGCTCCCGCGAAGTTAGCGGTCTCGGCGACATATGCGTATCGGCGATTTCGTCGACTTTGAGGCCAATTTTCAACCAATTCCATTGTTCCAGTTGACCAAACTCATAGCTATTTCTTTAGAACTCCATTTTATCTATCAGCTGAGTACAAGAAACCTCCCTTTTACTAATTTGGACTACCCAATATGGTGGTCAGAAATTGGCAATTTGGCCAATTTCACGCAAAATAAAAAAGATGCCAATTTCAAAATAGGGTCCAGAATAAACAAGGTAGACATTCGTGGCACTAAAATAACATATGCTCTGTTCATTAGTCACATCTCTAGGCCCCTCTTATATTATTATTGCTTTCTATTTTGATTTTTTATTCATACAAAAAAATACAAAATTTACTGTTATGCAGACGACTGCATTATTGTAAAAATGGTATAAATAATATCAGTGCACTAGTGAAAGAATATTAGACTCCCCAGTTGACGTGTATTGGACGTGTGGTGTGATTTATGTACTCTTGAACATTGGTAAAAATCGAACATTTCCGCGACTTTGAGCTCAGTTTCAAGGTCGTTTTCATCGTAAAAGTAATGAAAATCATCTCTATTTCTGTAATATGTTTTCCATTTTATCACCTAAGACCATGAAAACGCGAATACAACGATAAATACTATACGAAAATACACCTCAAAGTCGGCGTTTTATTCCAAAAAAACGATCAGTTTTTTTTTTATCATTACGCAATGTGTGCTGCAGGATTTTTTTTTTGTGGTGCACACTGACCACACAGACCCATTCTCTCACATGTGGGCCTACCAGCTTTCTCCCACTTGATTTGAAGCCGCTAGAATTATTGAGTATATATACGTCAGAAACATTGGCTCGTAAGACGTATTTATACGTCGAAAACAGTCAAAGGGTTAAGTACCCACCTTCACAGTAGAAGTGAGGAAGAGCCAGTTGCAAGTGTGGGGAATGTGTGTGAGACAGTGGATAGAATGAAAGGGACTAAAGCAACTGGGATTGATGGGATGACAGAAATGTTAAAAGCAGGTGGGGATATAGTTTTGGAATGGTTGGTGCTTTTATTTAATAAATGTATGGAAGAGGGAAAGTCCCTAGGGATTGTCAGAGAGCATGCATAATTTCTTTGTGTATGTAAAGGCATAGGGGAAAAAAGAGTGTAAAAATTAAAGGAAAATAAGCCTGTTGAGTATACCTGGTGAAGTGTATGGTAGAGTTGCTGTTGAAAGAATTAAGAGTAAGATGGAGAGCAGGATCGCAGATGAACAAGGCTTTAGGAAGGGTAGGGGGTGTGCAGGCCAAAAGTTTACAATGAAGCATATAAGTGAACAGTATTTAGATGAGGGTAAAGAGGTTTTCATTGAATTTATGGATTTGGAAAAAGGTTTATTATAGGATGGGCAGGAGAGCAGTGTGGCAGATGAACATCAAAATGGTATACAATACCGACAGGTTGGTAGGTAAGACACATAGGCAACATCTGACTATGGAACTGAACTTCTCCAGGCCGAGGGATTGACAACCTCAAATTCTACGACTTCAAGGGTGATGGACTGATTACATCATCTTCAAATCTCTACTGTTCCTACCTACTTTCTGTATTCGACTGAAGAAGCCTACTGTGTAGGCGAAAAGTTTTGGAATAAAGTTGCCTAACTGTTGCCTATGTGTCTTACCTACCAGTGTGGCAGATGTTGCAAATGTATGGAATGTTGGTAGGTTACTGAAAGCAGTTAAGAGTTTTTATGAGGATAGCGAGGCTCTGGTTAGAGTATGTAGGAGAAAAGGAGATTATTTCCCAGTAAAAGTAGGCCTTAGACAGGGATATGTGAGGTCACCATGGTTGTTCAATATACGTATTTATAGATGGGGTTGCAAGAAAATTGAATGATTGGGTGTTGGCAAGAGGTGTGCAAGATTAAGAGATAAAGAATCTAGCACACATTTATATATATACGTACAGTGGACCCTCGACCAACTCTGGCATCGTATAACGTTAAATCCGACTAGCGATACATTTTAACGCAAAAAATTTGCCTCAACTAGCGCTAAAAAACTTGACCAACACGATTTGTTCCGTTCGAGACGCATCCACATGTGGCCTGAGCGCGCCTCACTTGTCCCGTGGGTGCCAGTGTTTACAAGCCAGCCACCGCGGTCGCATTCAAACATACAATCGGAACATTTCATATTATCACAGCGTTCTTAGTGATTGCACCTGCAAAATAAGTCACCATGGGCCCCAAGAAAGCTTCTAGTGCCAACCCTACAGCAAAAAGGGTGAGAATCACTATGGATATGAAGAAAGAGATCATTGCTAAGTATGAAAGCGGAGTGCATGTCTCTGACCTGGCCAGGTTGTACACAAAACCCCAATCAACCATCGCTACTATTGTGGCCAAGAAAATGGCAATCAAGGAAGCTGTTCTTGCCAAAGGTGCAAATGTTTTCGAAACTGAGATCGCAAGTGATAGAAGATGTTGAGAGACTTATTGGTGTGGATAAACGAGAAACAGATAGCAGGAGATAGCATCTCTCAAGCGATCATATGTGAAAAGGCTAGGAAGTTGCATGACGATTTAATTAAAAAAATGCCTGCAACTAGTGGTGATGTGAGTGAATTTAAGGCCAGCAAAGGTTGGTTGAGAGATTTAAGAATCATAGTGGCATACATAGTGTGATAATGCATGGTGAGGCTGCCAGTTCGGACCACAAAGCAGCTGAAAAATATGTGCAGGAATTCAAGGAGTACATAGACTGAAGAATTGAAACCTGAACAAGTGTTTAATTGTGATAAAACAGGCCTGTTTTGGAAGAAAATGCCAAGCAGGACCTACATTACTCAGGAGGAAAAGGCACTCCCAGGACACAAGCCTGTGAAAGAAAGGCTTACTCTGTTGATGTGTGCTAATGCTAGTGGTGATTGCAAAGTGAAGCCTTTATTGGTGTATCACTCTGAAACTCCCAGAGTGTTCAGGAAAAACAATGTCCTCAAGGCTAATTTGTGTGTGCTGTGGAGGGCAAACAGTAAGGCATGGGTCACTAGGGACTTTTTCTATGACTGGTTACACCATGCAATTGCCCCCACTGTGAAAAATTACCTCCTGGAAAATAAATTGGACCTTAAGTGCCTCCTGGTATTAGACAATGCTCCTGGTCATCCTTCAGACTTGGCAGAGCGACTTTCTGGGGACATAAGCTTCATCAAGGTCAAGTTTTTGCCTCCTAATACCACTCCTCTCCTGCAGCCCATGGACCAGCAGGTCATTGTAAACTTCAAAAAACTACATAAAGCTATATTTGAAAGGTGCTTTGTAGTGACCTCAGAAACTCAATTGACTCTAAGAGTTTTGGAGAGATCACTTTAGCATCCTCAATTGTGTAAACATTATAGGTAAGGCTTGGGAGGAAGTGACTAAGAGGACCTTGAACTCTGCTTGGAAGAAACTGTGGCCAGAATGTGTAGACAAAAGGGATTTTGAAGGATTTGAGGCTAACCCTGAGAAGCCTATGCCAGTTGTGGAATCAGTTGTGGCATTGGGGAAGTCCTTGGGGTTGGAGGTTAGTGGGGAGGATGTGGAAGAGTTGGTGAAGGAGGACATTGAAGAACTAACCACTGATGAGTTGCAAAATCATCTTCAACGGCAAGAGGCCAAACCTGAGGAAACTGCTCCGGAGGAGGGGATAGAGAAATTGAAGAAGTTGTCTACTTCAAAGATTAAGGAAATGTGTGCAATGTGGCTTAAAGTGCAGGCTCCTTTTGATACTATTATTAACCTCCTCATGTCTTGCAATCTTTCCCTCGGATTTACGGCACACAAGACCATGGTACCCGAATCGGTCTGTTGCTTCACTGCCACAAATACACCTGTGTTCAGCGAGAATAGGGGCGGCAAGTTGAAATGCAACACCAATGCGGATGGTCTGTGGGTCGAGCCATATGCCAAGGCTGGAGTGCATGAGGAGCTCTCACTGCCAGGAGGCAGGCTGTCCTTCCCTGATACAATCTGAAGCATTGTTGAGGCTATTTTCTCCACTATCGGGCCATCCCAGTGCGACTGTTTGTAGTTGTTGGGAGCAGGTCTGGTTTCAGAGTCCGTTAGATTATTCCAGATCATGGCTCCGTCAACAGGGAGGTGGCTCCAGTTCCTTAGATCAGAATGCTTTGACAAGACTCATAATAAATTCCAACTACACTTGCAGTGTCCTGGATATTCTGACAATGACTTGTCAACAGTCTTCCTCACTTTTTCAGTGTTGGAGTCTGTTTTTGATGTTGATGGATGACCAGATTATTGATCACCCTGCTTTGAAATGAGAAAACCATTCAAACTACTTTGTCCAACCCAGTGCTTTGTTGCCAAATACTTACTGAAGCATTTTGAGTTTCACTAGCCATTTTAATAAGCTTGAAACAGAATTTCACACGCATGCTGTTCTTTCTTTTAAAGATTCCATTGTGTAGCTCCTGATGATGGCACGAGAGTGCAAAAGATCTTGAACTAAAGATTTCCATCCCCATGTAGTTTGTTTTGCATTGTAGAGATCTCCTGTTTGCCTGCATGTATGTGTATGTATGATGGATATACTATATAAATGTGTGTGTACATGCATGCATGCATACATACATGATAAAGCATTTTGTAGATGAAACATTGTAATAATAAACAGCTGGTTGTTAACCACTGTGTCATAACATTTAATCTTGCTTTTTTCATTTTCTTTTTTTTTTTTTACCATGTACAGTACTTTATAATTTAGATTTTATTTCCTTTTGCAGATGATCCATACTACTGTGGCCTCCGCGCTCGCATTCCCAACTTCGCTATGTCCAAGTCGAAGGATAAGCAAGAGCCTGGACGTGCCCAGTACCCCAACGGGCCACCTATTCCCGCTCACCCCATGTGGCACACCCGCAGCTTCGATTCGGGCATGGGTAAGACCCCCACCCCCCCACCCACACACCCGCACAACAACCTGCGACGTCCACAAAATCACCTTCGACAACAGCATTCCAGCCAGCGACAATCCCAGCTTTATCCTACATTCTCCTCCTCTCATTCACCCATATATATGCCCCTACCAAGCTCATCACCAATACCATGGTGGATATCTCAACCAATACTCCCAGAAACAGAGCCTCCTTCACCTCAGTCACTACTTATGTGGAATGATGCATCTGAAATGTTGGAGGATGATGAATAATTTTGCACAGTGTTTTCACATTCTGATATATATATTTCTTTCTGCAACCACCACAGCCCCATCCTTACTGACTTTAATACCTCTATTCACTCTGACAGCTATGTACTACTCTATCCTCTGATCTAGGCTATTTCTGATCTTAAAACTATCCCTGATTCAGATCCAGCACCTTTCTTCCTTCTTGCCTCCCTCCTTCCATCCCTCGTTTACAGTGACCTGTCTTTACCTATCCTTCTCAGCTTCTACCCTGACAATGAACTTCATCCCTTACTGAGTCTCAACGGACCCTCACCTAGCACAGAAAGGTAAAGACAAGGGTAAGACACTTATTAGATGAAATTACGATGGACAAACACTAACTTTTGTCATTTAAATTTTTTGCCCTCAAAACAGCCCAAAATATCAGTAAACTAAATATATAAAAAAGTAGCTTTGCACATCGTAAGTTCAGAATGACCAAACCGAGACTTTAATGTGAACACAGACAATTTGAGACCACTGTCTGTGGGGTATTTTTGAAAATCTTAAGCATTTTTCTTATTTTCCTGTTGGTGACAAGACTTAAATTTTCTGGATGCTGTACTGCATGACTGACCTTACAACTTCTTCACAACACAGCTTGATGATAAAAATACAAGTGCAGAGCAAGCTTTTGTGACAGTGTCTTGCTTTTGTGCAGAACTTTCTGTACAAAGTGAAACATTATCACAAGAAAAGACTGCTTTACACCTGTGTGTCTGTTACTTTCCACAACATGGCTTGCCAACTTATGCTCACATTTGTTTTTGTTTACCAAGTGCTGTAGAACCTCATGATATTGATATACAGTAATGTGATAAACCTTTGAAGCGATGAGAATTAACTCGGCATAATTTGACCAAAGAAATAACGAAAATGAATATAGTAAATTAATCAGAATTTTTTATGCAAATTGATTATATTGAATTTTTTTTCTGATTATGCTTTAATATTTTTGGGATTCTACAGAATTATAATGCAGATATTGGTAATGTCATGAAGAATTTTGGGGGGATGTACAGTACAAGTTTTGAATTGTTTTATTGACCTAGGCCCCATATATAGTCTCTTCTTTGGTTAAATTATAAATGGACATAGTATTCACTAGATATCTTGTGTTCTTCATATCATTACCTAGCAACCAAACCAAAAACAGTATGTTCAGTTTGTGTGTATGTGTATGTGAGTTATTCCACTCACCTTCATTCCCTGCAACAACTTGGATCCCAGCTTTATTTGCTAATTTGTTTCAATTATTTTGTAGATAAGAGAGACTGAAATGCCACTCAGGTTTGTCATTTATTGGAGTATAGTATGTTAATGTGTGTAAGCTAAACCATCTCTCGTCATTTCCATTGCCATGTTGGTGTTTCAGAATCGTGGGCTAGTTGTTGTTTCCCTCCCTTTCCCTCTCTGGCTCATTGTAGAGGTAAGGTGGTTTAAGACTGTATTTAAAGAGATGTACTTGAATGGACTGATGTTAATGGTGCACTATATTTGGACCACATGTTTGTTTTTTTCCTTGCTCCATAGAGTATTTATATACTGTAATCCTGTGTGTGTGGCCAGACATCAGTTAACCATTGTGCCTCTCTTGAATGTATCATAGGTCTTAAGTCACCTGACACTGTTGATGGGGGTTGTAGAAGCCAGGGAGCACAGCGCTTCCTCTAGCACTTCTCTAAGCATGTCCATTCTTTTTTTTTCTCTTTTCTAGCTCTTTTGCAACAGAACCAAGCGCAAAATATTCACAGACTAGAGCGGAACCCCTGCTCGTGGGTGCCATCAATACCAGTGAGGAATGGTGAGTGGTCCAGAGCCTATCAGCTGCAACTCCTCAAATGCCTTTGCTCTTTTTAGTGCCATTTTCATCTTTTTTCTGAAGCTTTAAAATTTGCATCATATTATAAGCAATTGTAATTTTTCTTATCTGTAATGATTTTATATAACCTCTTAATTTTAGTAATTTCTCACATGCATGATGTATCTGACCTTAGCAACTACGTGTAAAATAAAATAAGCATGGAGTCAAATTAGTGTTAGTACATATGTCATCTTAGCCTTCAAAGTCTATCAGAATCCCTTCTGTAGTTATACTGTATCTGTGACATGTGCATGTCCCAACATCAGACGCCTCAGTAAAATTGATCCGTGTACCTTTTGTCCTGAGCTTTAAGCAGACCATGCTAACCCTTCATGATTTGAACATGGCCTCATTTCATAAAAGTCTATCTCAAGCTTTCTATACAGATTAAGGAAATTATAATTCAACACAATGGCTTTATACTACCATTGAATTAACACATGGAGTTTTTTCTCAGTGTGAGAATATACTTTCCATTACTTTTTATTAATGAAATGTTTCTTTTTAACTGACCAGGTGTAAGTTACACTACTTAACATGAGTAACCACACTTATTTTCAAATTGCTGATTGCAGTGCAGTCATATTCTGTTTATTGTGGCAACATATTTCTGCATTACGACAAAATTGATAACTTCTCGCTTTTTTTTTTTTTTTTAAAAAAAAAGTATTACATAAAAATTTGGCAGCAGGTGCTGTGTGCAAAAGGTGCATAGACGATGTTTAAGATTCTAACCAACACAGAATAATCCAATTTGAAGAAAATATTGATTAACACCTAAGGCATTTTGAGTTGCGTACAAAATCCTGAAAGTATGGTACGTGTAACAGATATACAGGTTTGCTGTAAGTTAATTTTTATCATCAGTGAAATCACAGAAAATCATTGGGATAAATTTTTTCCTGGGAAGATGAGATTATTTGTACTGGTGTCAACTAGCGAGGGATTGATATTGCCTTCACTGTATTTATTCTCTCTGCATATTTTAACAGTGGTAAAGTAGGCACACACTAATAATTTTCTAAGTACGAATGTAACCAACGCAAAGCATAAGACTACATCATTTATATATTATAGGTAGCTCTCTGAATGTAGTCAGTCCCAGTAATATTAAATATAACATGACAGGCATGGAAGTGGCACTAGAAAACTTAAGGCTATTAGTCTAAATCTTAGCCTACAAATGTAGGTAATATAAATCAGTAACTGATTTAAAATGCAGGAAGTATTTTAGAGGAGCAAATCTTTATTTAAACTATAATTAAAAATGATGAGACAGTGACTTTCATGAGGACTGTTCCGTTACTTGACCCTGGACGATGTTTTTGATCATCTACATCATTCAGTTCATTAACGGATCCTTCCACTCTTTCCTAGAAACTGAATGGGAATCCTACTGGGACTCATGAACTGACAGTAAATCAAAAGAGTGGAAGCGTAAGAAAACCATCCTGAGGCTCTTAGGTAAGGTCCTCCCGTCCCACACACCCTTGGGTAGACTTTTGCTTGAGTCTCTCTCTTACCGTGAATCCTTGCATCACTTTCACATTTTCCAGGACCCAGGTATTGTTAGTTGCAAGTTTAGACAAGTTTGAGCAAATATTCTACAAGTTGGGCATATCCTAAACTGCCATATTATAATCACGGGAAGCATTAAACCCATTGAGATCTTTCAGTGCCTGGGGAAGGGAATGAAATCAAGTTTGAGCCAAGGAGTGAGGGTAGCTCAAACTCCTTTGATCAAGAACCCTTCACCAGGATCAAGGCATAGGCAATCAAGTTGGCATGTGACAGGTACTTGACAGCTCTATTAATATCTAGAGCTGTTGTAAAATGTTTTACTTTGCAATTTTTTTAAACAGCTAGTCTTGAGGGCAGATACTGGCTGTTTTGGGATTTCTGGAAATTGTGAAACATGACCTTGGATGATGTATAGTACCTTATTAGATGCTTTGGTAAATAATGGTGGAGCTTTAGTAAAGATTGTTGAGCTCTGAATCTGTGGTTGTAAATTGTCCTGTGTCTAGCTTTAATGATGTGGTAAATGTGCATAGTAGGAAAGAGAAGATCGATTGTGCTACTGAAATCCTGGAAACTGACTGCTGTAAAAAAAAAATGATGAAAAAAGGTTGTACTACTTGCACTTACTCGTGTTTTGTCTCCTGTGTGACGTCCAGGCATCATCTCGTGTGCATGTGTTCACTACTAGCAAACTGTTCTGTTCCCTGCATTATATTTAGCTGTAGAATTTCTCATAAAATGTCAAACGTAGAAAATTTACTCTAGGAAGGTGCATGATCTCTCCTCAATCTTATTCCTTGTAGCATGCTATAGTGGCACTTCCCTTCCCTTCCAAGCACTGTTTTATGCACAGTACTGTTAACATACTGTAGCACTTGGTATCATTTCTAGCAAATTTAAAGAACTTTTAACATTAATACTAGTTGGCAAAACCTTTTATAAATCTTTACTGACTACACTTATAGGCACTAATAAAAAAAAAGGCATAGCATTTTATAGTGTCCAACAAAATTACCCTTTTAATTTTTTTTTTTTTTTTTTGACCTTGCAGACTCTGACTTCACTGAGTCTGCCTACTCTCATATCTACGGCCGTCTGCCCCTTCCCAACAGGGGATATTTGCCACCACCTCTACCCCACCAACGCACCATGTATGTAGGAGAGTGGGACTGAAGGAGTTCTCCCAAGCATCTGTAGGGTGTGACTTGGGCCTCCAGGATCCCTGCTTTTCAAATGCTGCTTGGGATGTATGATGCAATGACATCTAAAACAGGTTTATCATATGAATTGTCCCAGCATTCACTCATCTTCTTGTCTGTCTGATTTTCCAACTGAAAATTAAACTGACTTGAATAGTGTCCTGTGTGTGGGATTTAAAGAGCACATGTGAGAATTGTTGTATAAGGACTTAATGTGTGAACTCTCACAGATAATGTACTTTCACTCAGTGAGCCAATGAGCAATTATAAGCCTCTAACACTCAATGTCTCATTTTCTGTACTGTACATAGGGAAATGAGCCTTGTAGACATCAAGAAACTAGGCTTGCAGTTGATAAGTTCCCAGTCTTATCACATTATATCAGTAGGATTTTGTTGCTGTGTTCCCTGACATGTTCTTTTACTGCTTTATATTAGTGTAGAATTCTCATAAAATGTCCAAAGAGTAAAATTTAACTCTAGGAAGGGCATGATCTCTCCTCAATCTTGATCCTTGTAGCATGTATAGGATTCCTTCCCTTCCAAGCACTTTATGCACAGTACTGTAACATACGTAGCACTGTATCATTTCTGGCAAATTAAAGAACTTACATAGTATAGTTGGCAAACCTTTATAGATCTTTAACTGACTACCTTATAGGCATATAAAAATAAAGGCATAGCATTTTATAGTGTCCATACAATTACCCTTTTAATTTTTTTTTTTTTTGACCTTGCAGACCGACTTCACTGGTCTGCCTACTCTATATCTACGGCCGTCTGCCTTCCCAACAGGATATTTGTCCAACCTCCTCTACCACCATGCACCATTATGTAGAGATGCAGGATTGAAGTGTTCTCCCAAGCATATGTAGGTGTGCACTTGGGCTCAGGATCCTCTTTTCAATGCGCTTGGATGTATGATGCAATTGACATCTAATACAGTTTTTCATATGATTGTCCCGTCATCACTTCTTTCTGTGATTTCAACTGAACATAAACTGACTTGAATATGTCCTGGTGTGGGTTTAAGGCACATTGAGAATTGTTGTAAAGATAATGTGTGAACTCTTCTACAGTTTATGTAATTCACTCAGGAGCAAGAGGCATTATAAGCCTCTAACATCAATGTCTCATTTTCTGTATGTACATAGGAATGCCTTGTAGACACAAGAAACAGGCTTGCGAGTTGATAATGTTCCATCTTCTCACATGATATCAGAGGTATTAATGATAGATCCTGATATTAAAAAATCAGGAAGCACTAAACCCAGAGGGTCATCTAGACCTAGGGATGGAGCATCAGATTGATCCAAGTGAGGATAGGTTCAGTTCTTGGTAAGACCTCATGCATAAAGCAAGTTGCGACTCCTGACTAATCTGCATGTTAGAGCCAAATCTAATTGAGGGAACCATCAAATGTCCTTATACATCAACTCGCTTAAAAGCATCTACATTGAATTTTTAATGCAATTGAAATGTGCATAATATTAATAGCACATACTTGAGGCCTTTTCAGCGTTATCAATTTTCGATGCACTTTTTCAGTTACGTTTACAAAAAATAACTTATAGAGGAGCTTTCCAAGAGCTGACTGTAATCAAATTTTCAATCAGCTTGCCTACAAGAAAATTTTATGTAATTTTGTACATGCAAAGACAGTTGCTGTTGGGTTTCTTGCTACTATTTCCTAATTAGTTTTCTTTAACTTTGAAGTATATGAAATAATTCCTACTTTGCAAATTATCTGGTCAGCTAATTTATTTCTGGCTCATCAAACTGGGACTTTTCCGTTATATAGTTTAAGTTTTAAAGGTCAAGCCAAATGGCAGCCATATTGGCCAGCCTTCAGTGTACATAAGTGAAGTGACGAATGCATGAATGATAGTTGTCATGTCTCCCAGATGGTTTACTCCTCAAAGGAAGTTCTGAGATGCTCTTAATGGGCTTGTAATACAAAGAATTGAACTTGCCCTACCATTTCTTGAATCAACCCTAATTGCCTCCTAGTTCCTGGGTGACTTGTGACCCCTATAGGTTTGGTGCACTCGCAGTTCATTACTGAGCCTGGCTTGGATTGAGACTATTATGAAATCATGTGAACTTTAATTGTACAGACAGGCCTCTCCATAACATTTATGTAGTGTTTTTTATTAGAATGCTATTTATATTTGTCCCAGAATTATCATTATGCAACTTCTGATTGTGTTTAACACGATTGATCAAATGTATGTGGCACATTAGCTGATAAACAATATCTACATTTGTCTGCTGCTTAGTAATTGTACAGCCATCCTTAAATGCTTCTTTATCAGCAAACAATATAAGATATAATAATAAACTTCCTTGTTACTATTTTAAAAAATTACAGTGAAAGTTTTTTTTATTAAGCAATAAAAGAAGGAATTTGAGGTATGATAAAATACTTCCTTGTTACTTTTATAAACAAAATTGTTATGAAATGTGATGGTGTCTGCTGATCAGACAACCCACAACAGTCTACCACTTGCTGATCTACATAACCATCTCTCTAACACATACAACAACATGCAGGAGAACAAGCAAAGAATTTAAGGTAGGGTGACACATATTATAATAAGTTGTGTATTAAAATTATAATATTCACTGGTAGGAATGGATGCTATAATGTGTCAAACAAGCTTCCCATGGGACTTGAAGTTTTTATTTAGGAATTGGGCATGTAACATAGTCCTAAGTCACGAGCAACATTTACAATGTATTTTGTTAAAGCTTTCACTTTTGACAAAATTAACACTTGAAGGATTAGCTAGGTTTTTGAGGTAAAGGGGGGGGGGGAGTCCATGGACCTAACCCTACTTTTTCCCATACATTGTATGTATTTTATAGTGTAAAATTACGTATTATTATTATTAATCAAAAAAGAAGCGCAAAACCACAAGGGCTGCAAAATTACATAAAGCGGCAGTTTCATGAGTGTAATGGCCGTTATGAGAGGTCTGCCTGCATGTATTGATGGGAAGTGATAAAGCTATAGGGTTGTACAGTGCCTGGGGAAACAGAAGGCAACAGGTTTGACCCAAAGAGGGCAACTCCAATTCCTTGGCTCAAGAGAACTTCACTTGAAAGAGTATGAACCTAAATGTATACAAGATGCTAGGCTGTTAGTGCTGCATTCCCCTGAAGGTCTGTCATTTTGTGTCAAGTAACTGACAGTGCTTTGGCAAGATTTTTATTCGTTGTGAAGTGCCCAAACTATTGCTGTATGTCAAGGAACTAATAGTTAACTTATATTGTAATGTACTCTCGAGCAGCAGTCAGCTGTGTGTAGATGTGAACATTTGAGTTGGCCTCTATACCATTCTTTTTCTTAATAATTTCATTGACTTTTCTCACCCTGAAATGACTATTACTATTGAGGGAAATCTCATTATTATTATTCATTAATTATTATTCATTATTATTATTCATTATTATTAATCAATATTATAACTATTATTATTGTCAGTCATTTTTATATTTTTATTATTTTTGTGTTATCCAATTAACATCTTTATATATCCATTAGAAGAAAACTTAAGGTTTTCAAATATGTTCATCAGTTTCTTAAATGTATTCATAATTGGGAGGAGATCTCGGGATGACAGAAATAATTTTAATCTTCATTAACTTGTATATAGAAGACTTGAAGAGAGTTAGCCGAGGCATTCTCCCTATCCACCCTTCCCCTCATTTTCATGAGAATCTATGGTGTGTTTTGTATGACATTATTTCCTTTCGCAGTGTTAATCATCCTCTTCATACTGATCAAAATTTTTCATATACACAATTTTTATAATTACATATATAAAAATTTGTGTTAGCAATATTTATGTTCAATTCTAGAATACATCACTGAATGTGTAAATTTTTTTTATAATTTTGTATATTTACTCTAATCTTTTTTTATGAAATTCCATTTAAGTGTAACTATGTATATGTGATTAAAATAACTGATATACTATGTGTGTGCGTGTACCAGTAGATACCCTTTTCCCTAATTAAGCTGCTGGTAAAAATGCATTTTGTATTACACCACAGTAACGTAATTTTCTATAAATGTGGATCCAAAGCCTATAATCTCAACAATGAAGAGACAAAAATAGTGTGAAAGCATAAAATCGATCCAGCAAAAGAAATATATACTCAGACCATGTAGGGGCACATAGGTACTAGGTTAAGGAAATCTGCATACATATATGGAAGTGTGTAGGATAAATATACCAGAAAATGGTTAAACATGCTAAAGTAGGGGAAATAGTGTCACTTTAATAAGGATTGAAGGTACTTCCACCTGAGATGTGCAAATCCTCATAGTATCTCGCAGAATGCTTTGACCTTTGCTGCCACCGACTTGTAAAAGGAATGAGATGCTATAAAAATATGAATTTAAGAAAATGGGGGCATGGTAAACATTGAAAAGCAACAAGTGGTATATCGTCTTTGACTAAACAGATGGTAAAATATCAGGGGTAATGAGACTGAAAATCAAAATACCCCAAAGGGTATCTATCTTTTTTGTGAATATCCAGAGGTCAAAATCAAATTAAAATAAACTATGTAAGTGGACTCCTTACATAAATGCTGCTGCAGAATTTACAGAAGTACTCACAAGGGATGTTTTGGGCAATAAGATACGAGTAGAAAACCACAATGTACAAAAATGTAAGAGTAAACAAGTCACAGTGAGGAGTAGGAATCTATGATATAAAGTAATTTTGTTGGAAGGAGCTTTTAAAAATCATTAAACACTGTAGAGCTAGGACTGGAGAAAAACAACTGCCAATGACTGAAGAATTCACAGAGCAAATAAGATGGAAGACTGCCTGGGAAAACCTATAAAGTCCTACACCAAATATCCTCTTTGGAGATTTCAGTCTACCACATGTTAAATGGAAGATGGATGACAAAAACACTTCAGCACAGCACCCAGAAGCAAGTTAGCCCAGTAGACACAGACACATGAAAGGGAATTAACTGAGCTCTGAAAAGTTTGTCCTGAATCAACAGATAAAAGTCCACCAGAAAGGAAAAAAACTGTATACCATATCTTTCAATCTTAGTGGTATGGCAGTCTTCAGATTTGGGGTAGGGCCCTCCAGTACCTTCCACATGTATATCATTGTGTATCTCTCCGGTGCTCCACAGAGTACATATTTTGGATTTTAAGGCATTCCCAGCTTTTTGTGGGCTGTAAATGATCCTGGCTTCTTTTCCAGCTCCTGCCTTAAACAGGGCTGTCAGTGCTGAACAGTACTCTAAGGTAAGGAGAACAAGTTATTTGAATAGTGTCATTAATGGCATTATTTTCTTTGTTCTGAAAGGTTTCATTATCCATCTGGTTATTTTCCTGGCTGTTGTATAACAGGAAAATA